AAAAAAGTAGATTTGATCTGCCCCAAGTTTTTTTTTTTCTTTATTTCTTTATGTCTTTTTCTTCCCTTTGATTTGAAAATGAAAGTGTGGTGCTTTCATTTTGCCGGAACACAACAGTGGCTGCTTCAAAAGTGGCAGGCAGAACCAATAGGACGAAGGGATTAGTAGGTAAAAGAGGTAGATAAAATCCATTCTATTCACTTTTATAAGGACAAGATCGGATGATATGGGATATGATTGGATTATATTAGATTAGGTTAGATTGGAGTAGAGTAGAGTAGAGTACAGTGGAGTAGATTAGATAAGATTACATTCCATTAAATTTGATTCCATTTGATTTGATTGGATCGATGAGGATTACATAAGTGTGGATCAGATTAGATTGGATTGGATTTGATACATTTAGATTAGATTAGATTAGATTAGATTAGATTAGATTAGATTAGATTAGATTAGATTAGATTAGATTAGATTAGATTAGATTAGATTAGATTCGATTCGATTCGATTTGATTCGATTCGATTTGATTCGATAAGATTACATTCCATTAAATTTGATTCCATTTGATTCGAGTGGATCGATGAGGATTACATAAGTGTGGATCAGATTAGATTGGATTGGATTTGATACATTTAGATTAGATTAGATTAGATTAGATTCGATTCGATTCGATTTGATTCGATTCGATTTGATTCGATAAGATTACATTCCATTAAATTTGATTCCATTTGATTCGAGTGGATCGATGAGGATTACATAAGTGTGGATCAGATTAGATTGGATTGGATTTGATACATTTAGATTAGATTAGATTAGATTCAATTAGATTAGATTAGATTAGATTTGATTTGATTTGATTCAATTCGATTAAATAACAACCATTAAATTTGATTCCATTCGATTTGACTGCATCGATAAGGATTACATTCGTTTGGATCAGATTAGATTGGATTGGATTTGATATGCGTTTAGATTAGATTACAATCATTTCTTTTGATTTGATTGGTTGGCTTGTGTTCACATTCGTTTGGATCAGATTAGTTTAGGTTAGATTGGATTAGGTTGCATTCTGATTAGATTAGATTGGATTAGATTAGATTAGGTAAAATTGGATTGTAATCTGATCGGATTCAATCAGATTAGATTAGACTGTGTTCCGATTCGATTCGATCAAATAGGTTAGATTAATTTAGATTAGATTAGATTAGGTCACAGTGATGGATGCATGGGTATTTCAGTGATTTGAATGAAATTGTTAAAGTGTTAAATGAACAGATTGATGGATGCATAAATGGAAGCGCTAATGAATGGATGCGCGGTTCAATGGTTTTAGAAACGGATGAAAACCCTTCTGTTTAAACAGTATGTAAACAGCAAGTAAACAGAGTGTAATAGTGTGTTTTGGGAGGTGTTTTTTAAAACGGATATTCAGCGAGTCCGATCATTTGAAAATACACGCAGATGAATAAACAACAGTAGTGCCGTTATTAAGAGGATTCATCTAATAGTGGGGTTTTTTTAACAGTGGTGTTTACTTGTCCCTCAGATAAAGTGTAACAGGCCATTTCACAGCCCCAGGACAAACAATGTAAAAAATAAAAAAAAAAGTCCAATCTCTCATTTTCTTTGCTGAGACTTTGGGGACATTTAGAAGGCAAACAGCAGAGGACCTGAGGGGAGACGTGAGGGGACAGAAAATGACAGACAGGCTGGGGGAAAAAAAAAAAAATTCTTGGAGGACTGCATTATGTTCCAACCTGCAGCTACACGTACATTTTTGATGAAAAATTTACTGCACAGACACTTTCTCTTCCCTGCAGACATTTATGTCTGTTCTGTTTCACAGTGGCAACGACAACAACAACAGGGACTTACACAAAAACACACACACACATATATATATATATATATATATATAGACAAACACACAACAGTTTGTATTTATTTTATACCTTTTTCCGTCCTTTTTTTGGCGGGCGTGCTAGCATGCGCAAAACGTTGTGAAGACTTTTCTCGAAATGTCTCATTTATTACTAAAACCTTAGACCTTAAACACAAACGTGTCAGCCTGAAACACCTAGACGTGCAGCAACAAGTCACAGCACGCTTGAAGGTAAAAGAGAGAAAAGAAAATTCGAAAGAAAAAAAAAAACAAAAAACGATGGGATAGAAGAAAGAGAAAACAAACAAGTAGAGGTAAAAGTTACCAAAGTTACTGCATTTCACTGGAATAAACTGAACACATTTCAATGAATAAATCGTTTTTTTTTTTCTTTTGACACGAACAAACCTGCTGTTTCACACACTTACACTCTGTTGGACTCTGAACGAATGTTTCTCTTCTTACTTTTAAAAAGAAAAAAAAAACACGTACAAAAGTTCGACTTCCAATTTATTTGACGTTAGTAATAATAATAATAATAATAATAATAATAATAATAAATAATAATAATAATAATAATAATAATAATTTAAAAAAATCTCCACCTAATCTAAGTTCCATTAAATTCACATCCGTCCTTTATTTTCTCTCACATTCAACCCGGGTTATACATACAGTAAGTCCCAGAATCCCTCTGTGTCGTTTCGTTTGCCATAATAACCAGAATTTCTCTTGACAAATATTGGTTCCGTTTCCTTTTGTCTCTGAATGTTGACATTACAGTGGCTTCATTATTAACTGCACTCACAGAGTGTGCAATCCTGTTTTTATTCTTTTTCTTATGTTTACAACGGGAAAAGTCTCTGGTCGACACATCAATGTTAGTTAGTTTGTTTTAGATTAAAAACAGAAAAATAAAATTCCTTTTTTTTTTTCTGCAGTGGACTAAGAAAGCTCAGAAACCGACGTTTATGCAGGACAAAAATCACGGCCGAAATTCTTTACAGAATGTTTCAAACACAGTGGAACCTCGTTTTTTTCAAACTCGAAAAGTTCGAAAACTGAAAACAATTTTCCGCATAGGAATCAATGTAAAATGGATTCATCCGTTCCTGGACCCCGGATTATTCAAACTTTTTCAACAGTAGTTTGTGTACAAGTTCAAAGATAAACAGAGAATAAAGCTATAAATAGGAAAGGCAATTTTGTTCATCCTTACCGGTGTTGAGGAGACGTGACTTTTTCACAAATTATTGTCTAATGTTGCCGACCAACTACTTCTCGTTGATCCAAATCAGTAGCAACTTTCCCACTTCTTCTAATGTCTGAGATCTTTGCTTGGTGATCACAGTCACTCCTTTAGCAAAGTTAGCTTCTTTTATTACTTCCTTGTTCTCAGCGATGGTACAAATCCAAGACTTTCCTAAGCCGTACGGTAAAACCTGATCTGAAACACGAGCGCCATTATCAGGAATTCGTAGAATCTCTCTGTTGTTGTCCTCACTATTTTTCTTTCCACCTTTCCCTTGTTGAGAACAAATAGCACAACGCAAGAAATACCAGCGAAAATCAGACAATCATACTGCGGCTTGCGTGATATTGTTGACTTGTTCGACAATCAATACCTTGTTCGGCAATCAATACCGCCATGTCATTTAATGGCATGTTAAATATGATTGATCATTTATTAGAAATTAGATTACATTTATTAGCTGTCTAATAAAATAAAAAATAAAAAATTGGTACTATATTGATCCCATATTTGGGAAATTACGCCGTTAGCAGCAGACATGCTGTTAACAGGCTGCCCCTAGTAAGTGACAAGCACGTGGTTCCTCTGGGAATCGAACCAAAGCAGGCGTGCTAACTGTTACACTATCGGAACCGACAAAAAAATAATTATGAGCAAGTTTAATAAACTCAGCTGTGACAGTTTGACCACCAATACAGGAGCCTGAAACTTCGATCGTGAAATAATGACATCACAGTCCCGGTCCTCGCTATCTCATCACTCACTGTCTCCTAATTCTCTCTGCTTCGCAACCAATTATCTCCTGCCTTTCATTATCGATCTCGCTGTTATCTTTCTGTTGTTACTTCAATCTTTTTGGCTCAAACACGGCAGCAGGAGCAGCGGGAAACAAAGCACCGAACAGAGAAAAATCAGCTGCTGCTCATTTTTCCCCTCCACTTTCACTTCTCACTAATGGAGAATAAACTCAGGCGGCAATTTGATTTTTCACGAATTAAAAGCCTCCGCAGCTATCAATTTGTCTCTGTAAGAGTTTTAGTCCGAATGAATGATTTCCTCTGAGCTCTGTTCAGTATCGGTGCTGGTAGTTTTCGCTGTAAACAAATCGCATCTGTTTAACCAGAATATTTGGGACAGGGCAGCGCGGCCCGGTTCGGTGAATGAACAAGCCAACCGATACCTTTCGTTAATCTGTGATTAAGATACGAGCTTCCCGAAATACACGTATCCCATATTGAGAATCTGCAACTATTGCGAGATTTTTCTTACGCTTCGTAGCCCGACACTCGTTTGTGCTGTCTCACTCACTGTCTCTTGCTTGGTCATTTTACCCATCGCTTTATTTCTCTCATTCCCTTTCTCTCTTTATATCCCTTTCATGCATGACGGTCACTACAGTGGACAGCTATTAAAATGTCATTTTCTATGATAAGAATAGGTTTTGATGGCAGTGTTGCATATAAGCCTCTACAGTGGATGCCTCAGAATCACCCAACACTGCCATACAGTGGTCAGCCTTTGCAACTGCAGAATAATTGTGTCAACATTCAAAAAGAAAATTTGGTGTATAAAAACAGAACCAAATCAGTTCTTATTTTTATGTCTAAAAACACATACAAAATGTTGATACATTATAATTCAAATTTTGATGCTTTCAAAGGTTTTGCAGTTGGTTTCTTACAGAAATCGCGTTTATGGACATAATGATGGTGTTGTTTTTTGGGCTATCGTAACACTGACCCTCATTTTGAAACATTTTTGAGACAAAATCAGAGAGAGAGAAAAAACTGCTTATTAAAATGAACAGATAACTCGCCGATTGTGTAGCGTTGATTTTTATTCTGTGATTTTTTTTTTATTTTGCAGTTGGGTGAACAACTTTGGTCATGAGGGTCTTGGTCTTCTGCTGGACTCTCTGGAGAAGCTGTTGGACAAGAAGCAGTAAGTCTGACGTGTTTTCATCTCAGTGACATCTTTATGTTATCTGTTGTTGGGATTAACCGGAATTGTTTTGTTGTTCTTCACAGTCAGGAGACCATTGACAAGAGGAACCAGCACAAACTAATCCAGTGTTTAAAGGCCTTTATGAATAACAAGGTTTGTATGAATTTTTTTAGGCCAGGTATTTTACATTAAATGTAGGTGAACGACAAAAATATACCATATATTTAATGACTCTTAGTTAATCGCAATCATTTCGGCATGATCATTTTAAGATTTACTTTTTCTTACGCTTACATAAAAAACATATACAGTTGTAACATTTTAAAACAAGAGAACGTAAGATGATAATAGGCATCATTTGAATTCCACTGATAGGTCGGTTCTATAGCGTAGCGGTTAGCATGCCGGGTTTGATTTCCACAGAAACCAAATTATCTGCGCCTTCAAGGGTCAGCAGGTGGCAGCAGATCTACTGTTAACATAAAAATGTCCCAAATTGTTATTATTATTGTTATTGTTATTATTATTATAGTAGGAGCACAACCTCTGGTGACCAGATTAAAAACCTAACCTGGATTGGGATAACGCGAGGAGCACAACTTCTGGTGCCCAGATTTAAAACCTAACCTGGATTGGGATAACGCGAGAAAGTAATGGGAGAACTACATACTTTTTTCCTTACATTTTCACACTTTTAATTGTCTTTATAAAAAGTTAAAAAAACGACTTGTCTGCAGAGCGCCACAGATTTCCTGGATAAGTAATTATTGATATTACATCTTTTAATTTGAATCTCCACATGCGCTCACTCCTCGCTTGTGGAGCTTGTGGCTTTAAAGTACAGGAGCCTGTGAGCATTTGTCCCTGTAGTCCTGTCCTGAATTGAATTACTTCATCATCCTCACAGTGTTTTTTTTTTTTCTCTTTCTCCTTTGGCCACGTTGTCCCTCCTTAAAGAGGGAATTAGAGGAAGTGAAAGTGAAAGTTTTACACCAATGCAAAGGCTCTCATTAATTCAGATCTTGTGGGATTTTTATTATTATTTTTTTTAATTTAACCTCCACTCTCCCCTGTCTTCTGTATCTGTGTGTGTTTGTGTTTTACAGTATGGACTGCAAAGGATCCTGGGAGACGAGCGCAGCCTGTTGCTGTTGGCTAGGGCCATTGACCCCAAGCAGACCCACATGATGACAGAGATAGTGAAGATTCTCTCAGCCTTCTGCATCATTGGAGAGGAGAACATGTGAGTTTGTTTCTGTTCATGCTATTTTAAACGTCCTGTTATACAGAAAATACAAAAATACAAACAAAAAAAAATACACGAAAGTTCCCCAGAACAAGTTAATTCATCTATCAATAACACTGTAGAGTTATTCCACAAGAACAGACCAGCAGTAAATAAGTAGAAAAATGTAGCAAAGTTCACCAGACATAAAAGAGAAAATAAAAAATAAAAAACCTTAAAAAAATATATAAATACTCATGAAAAGTTTATTTCAAAATTATTTGTCCCTACATTTTGGCCTGAACAGTTAAAGGATCCCCAAATAATTCAGCAACATTTTATTGATTTTTGTTTGCGGATAGTGTATATCAGCGGTCCCTGACCCCTGGTCCAGGGACCGGTGCCGGTGCCGTAGGTCATTTGTAACTAGGCCGCATAATCTGGTAATGTTTCAAAACAACAGGTCATTCAGACTCTGATACTAACAGAATAAAGTCTGAAATATGTTTTATTTTGAAAATGTAACGATCCTTCAACGATGGCGGTTCACCGTTATGGCTAATACTGGCCGACCAATCCTTGGTACAAAAAAGGTTGGGATACATTTAACCCAAATAGCCATTAAAAGTTACATTCAAATGACTGACAAAAAGACTAAATAAGTAAAATAATAAGTAAAAGCTCATAATAAATAAAGCATTTTTTTTTAATTTTAATTATGTCCATAACCATAGTTGTTGGCACTTGAAGAGCTTTGTATTAAAAAAAAAGTAAAAAAAACAAACAAACAAAAAACACTACATAAGGTGGCAGTATTGTTGTGACTCTGTCTGAGATAATGGTCTCAGACAGAAAACGTTTGAGAGGCAGAAAGCGATGCGATACATTCTGCAATTAGATCCGACAGGTGATTCGCACATTGACATCACGTTGAATGTTACATGGGTAAAAATACATATAAGTGAAGAGAGGTGAAGTTTTGCGTGGCTCATTAGAGAATTAGACGACAAAACATATAGCATCACGCGGAGCTCAGTTTGAAGTCGGAAAGAGAGTGTTTGAGGAAGGTGAGAAAGAGCTAAGGAAAAAAAAAAAACCGAGACAGAGAGGGAAAAACAGAGAGTGAGACAAAAGAAAAGCTAGGGGTTAGCCGAGTTTAAGCTAGTAGTCACAATAATCCTCGTCGTACTCGCTGTGATTAAAACTTTATTGTTATTGTTGTGGTGTTAAGAAGTCTCAAAAATATATATGTTATACAGTATACACGGTATGTTGAGACCTAGCAATTACTTAAATGTGAGTATTGTAGCATATTATTAGCCTCGAAACAAGCCAGAGGTCAAACTTAGCCAATGCGATCATTGAAGGTTAGCCAAGTTAGCTCTTTTGTTTTGATTTTCGATAGTGTGTGTGTGTGTGTAGGGATTTCCATACAAACTATGTAGGTTTAGGTGTTAGCATTTTTCAAAGTGTTTCTTAGGTTGAACAACGGAGTGTTCGTGAAGCTGTGGTTAGAAGACCAGAAAAGACTGTTTGGACAAACAATAGTATCTCTTTAATTGTCATAAGGTGCGCCGAGTGAAGAGTCAAGGTCAGGGCTTCACACCGACAACCCAGTTTCTCTGGTCAGAGATAGGGAAATTGCAGATTTACTTTGTTTGATCACGGCGGACACCGAATCTGAAGTTTCTTGTTATTCTGCCCTGCTTCTGTGGGAAACAATATAACCCACACGTACCCACAAAACACACACACACACACACACTCACTCCTCTAAATCCAATTTATAAGCTGTCAGGCAGACTGTGAGTCTGTGGCAAAGTACGAGCATGAGTTCAACACATTTACCAAGCTAAACTGTATCATCTGAATCTGTGACCTGACAGCGTTTCGCTAACGTCTGTCACAAAACTGCAGCCTCTCTGTGTACTTAACTGGACTCTGCAAGTGTCAGCAGTCTGGGCGTCATTCGCCACTCCACTGACTAGTCCACTCCGCTGCGCCCACACTGCGAGTATGTGTTGTTGATCCCACAGTATTTCCCTTGGGGATCGATGTGATAAACCAGAGGAAAAGCAAAGCGATTCCTTCACTGTCCTGGAGAAAAGTCATGTGTTAGCGCATAGGTGGGACCAAGTCCTTGCTTTGCAAGTCCTAAGTAAGTCTCAAGTCTTTGCACTCAAGTCCGATTCGAGTCTCAAGTCAAGACAGGCCAAGTCCGAGTCGAGTCCAAGTCAAGACTAAAAAGTGTCAAGTCAAGTCCCAAGTCCTGTTTCTGTTTTAAGTCCTTTTAAACAAAATAATAATATATTTACACAGATCACTTTGGGTTTTGGAGAAAGTATCAAGTCTTGTCGAGTCAAAGGGCTCAAGTCCAAGTGAAGTCACGAGTCCTCTGGTTATAGCTATAAAGTAAATGTATGTTGCATAACTTAAAGCAGTATTATTGGCTAAGACTTATTTACATGTATCTTAGTGAATCAGTTGACCTTGTTTCTAAGTAAACAATGTTAGAAACTTCAGACTGAAATTTTTTTTGAGAGAAATTCTGTTCCGTTTTGGAGCTAATGAAAGTAAAACAGCAAATGTGTCACCGCAAAGGTGGAATAAACAGAGCACCTGCGGTCTCTGTCTCTACCGTCTTCACATTGTAAATCAAGGTTCCCTGTGTTTGAGCTCTTCACAAACGTCCTCCTTCATTCACAGACTTTTGTCTTTCTCTGTCTCTCCTATTTTCCCAGCGTCCTTCAGCCTCTCCAACTGTCGTCATTTGCTTTACTTTCCCACACCTCTCTCTGGCTGCTCTAACATCCCATCATTCACTGCACTTCTCACCCAAAGACCGATCTCATTCTTTGGTTCTTCGCATTTCCACCGAAGCCCCGCTTTTTGTATAAAGTAATTGCAGTTACAAGTACGCTGAGACAAAATGGAATAATGATGTGAGAAATAGTGAGAAATAGATCATATTGCACACAAACACAAAGATGGAGACACATTCAAACTAAAGAGGAGCGGGTGAAAAGTGTGAGTAAATGTTCTGTCAGCAAAGGGATAAACATGTTTGTTGATTGTTCTCTATTTGTTTTTGGATTTTTTTTTTTTTTTTTTTTAGTTTGGATAAGATTCTTGCTGCCATGACCGTCACTGCAGAGAAGAACAACAAGGAGAGGTTCTCCTGCATCGTGGAAGGACTGGAGAACCACGAGGCTCAGCAGCTGCAGGTCAGAGGGTCATCCAATATCAGACAACAACTGCAGCAATAACTGTCTACTTTATCACTCGCCATTACGCTTACAGCGATGCAACAACAATTATAAAACATCCACCACGTAAAAAGTAATAAACAGAAAAATGAATCAGTACAACAGGGTAAAATTCACCGTACCGTTTTTTTAACATACAGTAGAACCTCGAGATACGAGCGGCTCGACATACGAGTATTCCGAGATATTTTTGAGCACGCTTACAGACGCCGACGCTCGGCGGTGGCCGAACAGTCGGAGCAGCCCGCACCGCCTCACTCGTTCACGTCACGTGTTCATCGGCGTCTGTACGCATCTCCCGCGAGTCTTCCGTGTTGTGTTTGCATTATCTACGTGATTTTCTCTCTATTTTGTGCATTATTCTTCATAATAGCGATGAGTCCTAAGAGAGTGAGTGGTAAAGATGGTAGTGAGAAGAAGAAACGTATGATGACCATGGAAATAATGAATGCATGAAATTGTCAATATATATATATATATATATGCGTGGTGCCCACTAAAGAAAGAATACAAATAGAAAAAACACAACAAAAATACAAATTAATTTTACAAAAAGTAAAAAAAAAAAAAACGTAAGTTAATTCTAAATTTATGTAGGTTACGTAGTGTACGTGTAAGGCACGGTACGGAATCAAGTGTCTACGTACGGGCCAACTCTCTTCCCTCCGTCCTCCTTCCTCCGCACATGCCGCCATTAGCCGCTACTGTATCGTCTGTCTTGAAGGTAAAAACTCATAATTAAAACCACATTTGATTTTATATCACAGGAATCCTTATATACTATGATTTTTATATATATATATGTCTCTATAGCATAGTTTTGTGTTATTCCATTATTAAGGGATTTTTTTAGATGCCCCGAACAGATTTTTTTTTTTTGTTTTTTTTTTGTCTGTGTATGTCTCTATAGCATAGTTTTGTGTTATTCCTTTATTAAGGGATTTTTTTAGATGGCCGGAACAGATTAATTTTTTTTCGGTTTTTGCTTATGGGAAAAAAAATAAATTCAAGATACGAGCACCTCCAGTTACGAACTCGGTCCTGGAACGGATTATACTCCATATCTCGAGGTTCCACTGTACTGTAGGCCAGCTAGTTTTTGCTAGTTTTGAGAAGAGAAGATAGCCTTGTTATCCATGGGATTTTTTTTTAAAAGTAGTACATTTCTTTAGCCTGTCAGAGGCCACACTGCATCTTGTTATATAATACAGACTGTCAGAAGTGTTGGTAAATCTCCGGAGAAAAGCTCACCCCAGTAACAGTACGCTAGTGCTGCCAGTTTTCCTAAAACATGGCAAAGCTCTTTATGGTCCAAAAAGTCTCCAGGCCCTGGAAGAAGGATCTGTGCATTCAAACATATTCTGTCTCCCCCAGAGGCCACGTACTATACATAAAAATAAAATAAAAAAATACAATAAAAAAAAGCTTCACACACCAAATCTTCACAGGGTTTATGTGACCGAAGGAAGGCTGTGGAGCTCATAAAAAATTCCCTCTTCTCCGGTGAACACATGGATACTTAGATCAAACATACCTCAGTGCTGTATTGCTGGAGTCAGAGGTGATTGGTTTGAAAAAAAAAGGGTGGAATAATATCAGATGTTTATGATTGTTCATTTTTAATATTCAACCTGTCATTCTATCCTGTAAACCAGGGGTCCTCATACCCCGGTCCAGGGAACAGTACCGGTCAGTGGGTCATTTGGACCCGGGGGCCTTAGTGGAACACAGAAAAAAACAATGTACATCAGTTTTACTAATTTACTTGATTTAAAAAAATCCAGTCATAACCCTTTAGTTTTTTTTTGCATTTAAAAATAATCTGTCAATGTTTCAAGACAAAAGGTCATTCAGACTGTTTGATTTTGAAAATGTAACGATCCCTCGACGATGGCGCGGTATTAGCGGTCCGCAGTAACGCTTGATACTGGGCGATTGCTAACGATGTATGTCAGAACGATGGAAGACTTTCAATAAATGTATGGGGGATGGTGATGTAACCGTGAAAGCTGTAGGTTGAGGACGTCGTAAACCGTCGTAAACTGTTGAATACGTATTGATTAAGTTTTATTGTTTAACTCATGTACGTGTTGCGTTGTTTTATTTTCTGGTGAGCTAACACTTAGCTTAGTTGTCGATAGCATAGTCAAGTTTAGACTATCAAGTTAGCTTCACAATATCCAGGGAGGGCCAAAACATTAGCAAACTTTTTGGCTCATCACAGGTTGGAATTTCTTTCATCTTCCTGCGTCAGCAAAGCATTTTAATTTACTCCACAATTAGAGGAGCTTCAGATAGATACAACAACAGCCCCCCCCAGAGGAATATCAACTCTCACCTCTTGGGTTTTCTACAACGCACTTGATCCCCAACAGAATAATTCCTCTGGTAAATCCTAACATTCACTTCCACAAAAACCACATGGTAAGTGGTGTTTTATAGCAGCTATATAGTTTTTTTTTTGGGTTTTTTTTTTTTTTTTCGGCTGTTGAAGAAAGCCAATGAAACTAGAGCAAGCTATGTTGCTTTATTTGCCCTTTAACACTGAGTCCCGTGAGACTGATCTTGACAGCGCTGTTTGGGAAAAGAAAAAAAAAAAAAGCCAGAGGAGGAAGCTGTTTTATCTAAGAATAAGAAAAAAAAGACACCAGAAACTGTCAAAAAACTGTGAGAAGTGAAATGGAGATTTTACAACATTTTATTTCACACAGTATTATTGAAAACAGCAGCTGGCAAACCAAACTATTTTCCACATGACTTCTGCTCATGGACCATACTCGGAGGAAACTTTTGACCAGTGGACTGACGATAAAGTCAAGGAAACTTTCTGTGCTTTTTGGTAAGAAGGACTTTGAGATCTGTTCACACAAAAGACGACTGATTCCAAGCATCTTAACTCGACCTACTGGTTGACAGAGAGAGAAAAAGAAATCTGCTCCAAAATATGAATAGATGGCAGTTGGGAAAATAGAGCTGGGTTTGACTTCACTTGTCTTTTTTTCTCGGACCTTGAAGCAATTCCTGCCTTTTTTTTATTTACTTTCTGCGGAAGTTTTGCTATATCGCTGTATTTTACAGATTTTCTTGTTTAATGTTTAATATTTTCATTATTTTCATGATAATAACATTTCCTAACCTAAAAAAAAAAAAACGTAAAAATATACAACTAATATAAAATAACCTAAAAGACATCATGGAGAGGAGATTGAAAACAGAATTGTGTTCCTCGCGCTGATTGGCTGATGCATCGTAGTGTCGACTCTCAGCATCTCCCCTTGTCTGTTCGCCTCTTGTTGACTTTGCTTTGCGCCGTAATACGTATCGGACGTAGCTGTAAAGTTCGTGCTCTTGTGTTTGGTAAAAGTTTACCCGAATTTAGACGCTGACACAGATGACAGTTAACAGGCGAATTTAGACGCTGGCACAGATGGCAGTTAACAGTTAACTTTTTTTGCACTCCTGCGCTTTGCCCGACTTTTATATACGTATACAATGTGTATTTAATTTATTTACATAATATGTATGTCTTATATTTCCATTATACAAATATACTGTGCCTATAATTGTGTGGGGAAGGGTAATACAGGCTAGGCGGGGGTTGGTTCGTAAAGGCTAAATATATACATAAATAGTAGTATAGTAGTATATAGTAGTAGTATTATATATATTATATTATATATTTGCGGATTTTCCCTTATCGCGTTCGGTCTTGGAACGCAACTACCGCGATCGGAGAGGGATCACCGTGGTCACTTTTATAAATAGCGAAACCATTGTTGTTGCTCCAATTAATAACACATGTGAGCCAAGTGCTGCAGGTCAAGGTTTGTGGAGAAAGATTTCAGTATGTTTCCTGGGAATCTCTCTGCTTCCCATCGATCCTCTGTCCAAGGAACGGTGTCTCATCTGGAATCATCTCCCCTGAAACTGCTCCAGCTTATTGTTATTCATCAGCAGACTCTAGCTGAACACCACCAACCTCCACCTTACGCACATTTGAACACACACACACACACAGGTGATGCACTTCCCTCACCATTCTATTCATTAATAACACACACACACACACAGAGTCAATAAATCCATCATGTCTACTACTTTCTGACGTCTTGGTCCAGGTTCACTTTTCTGGGGTCATTCTTATATTTGAGTTACATGAGTTTTGTTTTTTTTTTGGAAGAAATGACAAATGAAAATGTATATTTGTGGGAGGTTCATTTAAATATCTTGTCTTGTTTTTCACCCCAGGTTGCCTGCATGCAGCTGATCAACGCTCTGGTCACGTCTCCCGACGATCTCGACTTTAGGATACATCTACGCAACGAGTTCCTCAGATGTGGCCTCAGGAAAATCCTGCCCGTAAGTCACGGACTCGATCTCAACAGAAGTTACGTGCGAGCCAGCGTTTAGCTGTATCCTAGCGTACGTTCGTCTGGGCAAAGTTTGATGAAAACGTCGGAAAAGATTCATTCCGAGGTCAAGAATTCTGTTACTAACGGTGAAGAAGTCGCTAGGTTTAACATGGCTGGGGATTGTTTTCAGTTACCTAGATTTTTGTAGGCCTATTTAATGTGGACATTATAACAACAATGGCCAGATTTGGCCCACGGGCCTGAGTTTGACACCTGTGAGATGAAGCGTTGTCATACAGTAGACATGTTGTTATTCAACCGTTAGCTTGTCCTTGGCTAACCTGCAGCTATTTTTGCGGAGCGTTGTCTGAAACATACCCGTGCGCACACGTTGCTATACTGTCAGGACAATAACAACAACATTAATGACATTGTTATAAAGAGTTGTTGTCAGTAGCCTGTGTCCTCACTTGGCTCATCCAGCAGTAATTAACCGCTCGCTGGTCTTCACTCATCACTCACCCTCTCATTTGTACCGAACGGAGGTGAACATGTCACTAATAAGTCATCGCAGCCGCTCCTGATGATTACCACTGTCATTACTTTAATCATCTTCCACTCTGCCCCCTAGAACCGTAGTGTCTCTGACGCTCATTTAGAGCAACGCCTCCAACACCGGCGTCCGCACG